AATTTGAAAACTTAGTGTGGATGCAGGACATTACATAATTCAAATATAACTTTGTGAAATCCCACCATGAAAACTGTATGTGCTTCTGGGTTACTCTGCCCTTTCTTAGCTTTCTATTTCATTTCAAAAGCTCTATTTTCCCTAATATACTAACAAATAAAAATATTCAAACTTCAGCTCTGTGAATTTAACATTTTCTTCTCCTTTGTGCTTGTCCCCTTTGTCCATGCTTTCCCCAGACACACACACAAACAAAAAGTAGCCCATGGCATGTACCTGAAAATGATATGCCCTCCTCTCCACACCTGGGTATGAACGCAGTTGCAGACAGCTGCCGTGAAATAAAATCTTTTTGTGATGAATAACAGCTCTGGAGCTCACCAGGCATCTGACTATTACTGGTCAAGGGATTGCTGAGGTCAGTGGCAGCATGTGCAATTACAAAACACTGGGCAGTTGTCCAGGTGGTTGGTGGAGGCACAAGCACACCCTGTAGCTATGAGTGCATTTGAGGCTCTGGACTGGGCAGTGTTGAGGACAGGGGAGTGTGGTGGTGGCAGCTCAGGCAACTGTAGCTGTGTCTCATGACAGTGAGCAGAGCTGTTGGGAAGGTGACTAAGAGGCTCCAAAGTGGGTAGCAAGTTTCTCCTCCTAGGCTATCCACTACTCTATGGCTAATGCAGGGAGATTTGCTAACAGTGCTCACAACTAAGCCAGATGTGCTGCTCTGGCTGGTTGGGGCACTACCATGTTTTCATGCAACCCTTCTCTCTGCCTGGCCATCATACCAAGATGATTATTGTTGCATTAGGCACGAATGGAACACAATGGGGGCTTTGTTTGCAGATGCTGCTGACCACAATATGATGTCTAAAGAGTCTCACCTCTCTTCATGTTGATGAGACGCTGGTCCACGAAGCGATACGGTTAAAGCACTTGCAGGGACTCATCCTAATAGGATGTGTGTGGTGTGGTGACAACCACTGCCAGGCGGACAGGAGGGGTGGAAATATCTTTAGCCTCCCCATGAAAAAAGCCCAGAATTAATCTCTCAGAGTCCTTTCCAAATGCTTTAAGTGCTAATGCATTTAGTGTTCTGAATTGCTTCTCCTTCCCTCAAATTCCTATGACACCAGGAATATCTGGGTTAGAGGCCATCAGCAGGTAACAGTGGTGTGGCCCTCTGTGCCCTGTCAGAGGGAAGTCTGCAGTCCTTCCAAGAGGTGTGAAAGCTGACGCAGCAAAGGCCTCCTGAGATTAATAACAGGATAGGGCTTTGTGTGCAGAGGATTTTTCCCTCTTTCCCACTGCTTTAAACAGGACTGCAGAGGGTCCTAGTGAAGCCAACCTTGCACACTGTAGACAGAGCTCTCTCAGATCTCTTTAACGGTTGGAATTGTGAAATATTTGTTGCATCTATAATTAGGGAGTAGAACAGATGGTTAAAGCTTAGTTATAATTAAAGTCTAATGCACGGTAAAATAACCCAATGCAGCCAGTGATTCAGCAGCAACCAAAGAATTTTAATTCCTTCGTTGCTGGGCTTAAGCTTCAATTGCAGGAATTGGGACTTCAGGGAAAATCTGTTGCATCACTTATTACATAGGGACATGGCTCTATATTAAAGGATTGTGTGGAAATTTTTGATTGCTATGTATTAAGTTATATTGTGTGGTCTTGCTTACCTTAGTAGCTTGAAATCATGTGTGAAAAAGGCATGTGAATTGTTTTAACAGCACGGAATCTGCATGTTGCAATCCGTTTTAGAAGAGACTTTCTTAAAACCTGTCTGCCTAGTAATTGATTGCTAATGCTTCAGGATAAGGTATTTGGAAAGAGGCATTAACTAGGTGCTCTTAGGAACACATTTTCGTTATAAATCTGTTTTAAATGGAGCTTTCAGAAACATCATTTAATGCACATTTAACACCACTTTCAAGTAGGGATCGTTAGAGACCTCATGCCATGAGAACTGGAAGCAATTGAATAAGCTTCTCATTTCCTGGGAGGCAGGAGACCAGATGAGGAGTTAGCATCAGGCAAAAAAACATGAAGAGGCGTTACTGTGAGCTTTGCAGACTGTGGAAATGGTTTTTATGTTTGAGGTTGGGTTTTTTTCCCATACTCTTATTTAAAGCAGAGGGAGGTAGGTAATACATCCTGCCAAATGTATGTAATGCCAGCTCTCCCGAAAGGAGAACATGAACAGTTCTGGACCATTCCTGGAGACTGAGAAAACACCAGAGGAAATGTTATTATGAGTGTTCTCCTTCCTCATCTTCTCAGATGACTTATTGAAAAGATTTACCTGTATCTACCTGGGATATTGGGGCAATCATTGGTACACTAGTGATGCACTTGCTGGAGCTACAGCTGCCTGAGAGGTTTTAAAGGTGTCCCCTCCTCCCCTTTCAGCATGTTGGAAGGAGCTGTTAAGTGACAGGTTTTTCTCAAAGCTGTGATCAGCCTTGAATGGCCACTGCTCTTCCTGGACCTGTCCCTGGAGGACTTGAGGGGCACCTCTTTCGTAGTGAGCATGAAGGGAAAGCCAGTTACCTGGTGTTTATTGTGGATTATAGGCATGCAGACAGCCCATAACTGCTCGGTGCCCAATCAGCATCCCATACATTTTGGTTGTCCCTCTAGTGCTGTCTTAGGCTGCAGTGGATTTGGGTGCAGGAGTTGTATGTATGCTATATGGGCTCCACAGGACTTGAAAAGATACTACATTTAGCAGAGCTAATGCAGACTGTGGATGTTGCCTGGGAATCCTTGAGCAGGAGGCAGGTAGTGTTAAGGGTTCTGAAGTGATGCTGTTTGAGCAGCTTGCACCATGCTCTGGAGCCCTGCTCTTAAGAAGGGTGACTTGGAAAAAAAACTCAAACAAAACCACCAACAAAAAAGGTAGGAATGCTTCTCATCTCTAAATTTGTCTCAAATGTGGGCCTAAGGGCTAAAATACCCTTACTCTTCAAGGCTAGTGCACCCCTGTAAGATAGAGCTGACCTCTGCTTTCACACCCACACAGACCCTAGTCTCTAAGTGAATCTGGAAAAGCTCCTGGGAAAAGGTATGGAAAGTCAGTGGCCACCCAAGAAAGGCAGGATTGGGCCTTTTGATGGATGAAAATAGAATGGGGAATGGAGGTCAGCTCAGCTTCACTAAAACTCATGCCTTCAGGGAAGCCAATATGCAGAGAGAATAAAAAGCATCCTCCTTCACCCTTATCCCTACTCCGAAATCGAGTGTTTCTGACCTGTCACCCCATGAGACAACAGCAGCAGTGCTCAGCAAGGGTCTGTGGAGCACCTCGGAGCCAGTCCCGCAAGTACTGGGAGTTTTGGGTGGCTGCCGCCACTGCCCGGCCGCCAATAATGCCATGGCCGGGTTCCCCGGGGCCCGGGATCCCCGGTGGCAGGGATCACCAGATGGCAGGGATCACCAGATGGCAGGGATCACCAGATGGCACTGTTACGCGCACTCGCAATAACTCCCTTTCCTGCACTGCAGATGTGCGCTGCCTCAGAACACGTGTTGCTGAGGTTTTTAAGAGGCTGATTCTTGAAAATCAGCCTTTGGTTCTCAGTCTGCCCCCTGTGTGCTGTCCTCGAACCAGTGTTGCTGCCCGGGGCAGGTTTGATCCCCGCAGGAGGGACTAGGCTTCTAAAAATGTAGGATCACCTGTGTTTAGCTCTCGTTTAGCTGGTGTTACCCCGATGGCGTGTCACTTCTGGCAGCTTCACTTCCTAACAAAGAGCAATACTGGCTTCTGCCATCCTGTGGCCGTGGGAAGATTACCCTCTTTTGAAAAGCTGAAGTCTGAGCTGAGAGCTTGGGACAGAGGGTTAATCTTTTGCCTACTTCAAGGGTGCAATGTATGACGTGCTTAGTCTGAGTCACAGCAGAAATTGTTTCACTTTGGAAAAAGTGAGGTGCAAAGATTTGATCGTATCAGATGTGAAGCTTTGTTTTTTTTCAAGGATACATACATGAGCTATTAACATCAAAGCACAAGGATGGGGGTAATGCAAGAGACTCTTAAGTCATTATCTTCTCCACAAAGACATGAAACACTGACTCTTCAGCTTTCCTGAGCTTTGCTCTGAGGGGAAAAGAGCTTTTATTAACTTAAGTGACACCAAACCCTTATTTCATGCCCATGTACTGTAAGGTCACTGATTAAGTGGATTTTGTGCTCCATCCCGAGGAGGATGGACTGACTAGCAGAGCTGAGAATGTCCTGTCCTTACTGTTTTTCAAGCTGTAAGGGAGGGATAAGAACCTCTGTGCCCCTAAATGCAGGCATTCTTGGGCTGTATCTCCAGCATAGTCAGGAGGGAAATTATTAGCTGTGTGAACACACCCATGTTAATGGTGAGCTGGGTACTGCTGGCTGGGGAGGTGTGGAAGTGCAGGCTTTAGCAGAGGATGTGCAGGTTTGCAACCAGGGCTTCCATTGCTAGTGGTTAATGCTTTAGGGATTTTTGTTTTAATTGCTACTGTTCTTGAACTGGCTTTAATCCCATTAGTTCAGGTATGCCTGCAGGAGCTATGCTTGCACCTTGGATTGCAGGAGAGACATAGCCTTAATGCTGGGAACTAGAGCTCTGCCAGCCAAGCAGTGAGTTTTTGTTGTATCCTGTTTGGAAAGAATAAATTCTTTTGAGACCGATGCTTTTGCATTGATGATTTATTTTCTGAAGCTGCCAAAAGGACAGAGAGGTTTCTGCTTGTGTGGAATACACAGATGGGAAACAGCAGGAACAGCAGGGTTGATAGCAGCAACATGACATGCAACTCAGCTCTGACTCACAAGGAAAAGTTAGAGGGAGTGAAAGATGAGTGACACAGCAATAATCTCAGTCTACTGCATTCTCTGCGTCTTCCATTGAGGCTGACAGGATATGCCATCCTTGCAAGGAACTTTGTCTCTGAGTGAATCTCTCTACAGACAACTTGATTCAGAAAAGCTTTTGCCTTGCTTCACGTAGAGCAAACCTCTTCTTTCATTTGCTGCTGGGCTGGTGCTGCTGCCTGTCACCAGCACTTCAGAAGCTGATATCCTTGAAGTCCATGCTCTCTATGGCTTCTGATGTGAACACCTGGGAGATAAGAGCAGAGCGTGGGAAAACTCTGGGATGGGACTGTGGTGAGATGATGAGCGAGAGCCTGCGCTAAAAACTGAAGAGAAATTGCAGAGAGCTCCTGGTCCTGCCCTCCTCTGCCACCCACCACACTGCACAGCAGAGCTGGGGCAGGCTTTCACCCACAGGGATGTGGTCACTGAGGTTTCTGTCCCCAACCTGGGCTTGACCCCACCGGGTGTGATGATACTGTGTGTATTTGCGACAAGGTTCTCACCAGAATGCCAGACATGTTGTGTGGCAGCTGTATGAGGAGGCCAAGCCTTCCACCTACACAGCTCCTGACAACCCTTTGATATGCAATCCTGACCCCACAGCAGGGTGTTGCCACCTGTCCTGGAGTGCTCAGGCTTCCAGCCCCGCTTTAGCCCAGGCTGTGGCCCCGCTATGTCTCGGGAACGCCTGGAGATGGTGATGCAGCTGCACTGGCATCAGGGAGGGAATTTCCCTCTGCCCCACAGGTCTGTCACTCCCTCCCCACCTCAAGTGGTGGGAGTTTCCTGTGGGAGTTGCACAGTGTCCTGCCAGCTCTTGAGGATAGGGCAGGCTCTCTTGGGGTCAGGGCATTGCTGGGAGTCTCCTTTTGGCTTTGTTTCTGGTTTATCACTATAATCGCTGCTCTCTGTGTTTTACCTTCTTCACATGTGCATGAATAACCATCAGGCTTGTCCAGGGAGATGGAGCAAAATTCCAGTTTTGGCCTCTCAGACCTGGTTCCTTTTGCTCCCTCTTCATGCACAGAAGAGCCCTGTTTTTTAGTAACAGTGAAAAGAAACCTCTCCAGTGTTCATATCTGCTCTTTGATGATAGTATTACCCTTACAGTTAATTTTTTTTTATGACTTCTTAATCATGAGGAAATGGAGCCTGCAGCTTCTAAAATGCCTGTTCAGCTTCAAGTCTGCTCTTTTATCATCTCCTTCCCACCAGGTGAAAACAAGGGGCAAAACCTCCCACTGCTCCCCATTTCTGGAGAAAAAAGACCCAGCGTGGCCCTCAGTGGTGGGAATGTCTCCAGAAGAGAGGACATCCACAGCTGTACTGAGGCTTTACCATCAGACTGTGACGTAGAAAACTATAACTCTGAGGATCTTGGTGGGGGGTCAGTGAGATAAAGAGGCTGGAGAATTAGAAGGGAAGGCAACCTCAGGCAGGATTTTTAGCTTGGAGTGATCCCACGGAAACACACAGAGTTGGCACTAGTGGGAAGCCCAGAGCACAACCCAATTAACCTGCTGAGATGGGTGCTCTGGGCTTCCTCCTAGCACCAGTCTCTGCCCTGGGACCTGGAAGATGGGAAAGACTGGAGAAAACAAGGGATGCCACTAAGTGTCCTGTGGGAGCTGGAAGTCTCCATAAACATGTGGGAGAATTGGAGAAGAGTAAAAAGTGTTTTGCTGTAAGCTGTGAGGTTGGAGTAGAAAGGGAAGCAGTGGGAAACTCCTGTTGTAGCTGTTCTGGGTGACTTGAAAGTATTAATAGTTTCAGGGTTTCTCAAGCACAGAACTACAGCATGTCCTGACAAAGACTACAAAGAAGGTGATGGTGAGGGGTGAGAGCATGGAAGGCTTCAGCTTGTCTGTTGTGAGGTAGTCAGTCCTACAATCCCTGTCATCTGAGTTCCTGCTGAGACAAGATTCTGGGGACAAATACTCAAGAAGTGGTTTCTGTCTCATGAAACCATTCCTTATCCCTGCAAAGGAAATCCCCAAACTATACTGTCCTTTCCTGTGAGTGGATTATGCTCTGACAGAGGAGACACCAAAGGCAACCAGACAGCTCTGACAGCAGTTTACCTTGTGCTGTTGGGCAGGGCTAGAACAGTGCCACCTCCTTTGTTTCTTCCTAACTCCACATAAAAAGTTGATGGCCAGCATGAGGGTTGTGCAGAGCCCCAGGTGTGTGGTACTCAGATGCAGATGGCAGTTTGAAGCCGGTGTGTATTTTAAAGTCCACAGTTGTTAGCACTGAGATGTTCAGAATTAGCTTGAGGAGAAGGATATGGAGAGCAGTACATTAACACACCTTTGTCATCTTCTCTTTAGATCTGCCTATAGGGTTTTGCTGGACTGCTTGTTCACTGAGTTGTCACCAGTCCTGGGCCCAGACTTGGCCATCAGTGACCAAGCATGACCTTGATCACAGATGTTGCACAGTGTTGTCCTGGAGCTGCTGCCTGTGCTCAGCCCCTCAGGCCCCCACCAGCAGGTCTATGGTCCACAGGCAGGTCAGTGCCAGCATGGAGGGGTTGGGGAATGAGTACCCTTTTTTACTGCTTTTTATTTGCACTAGGGACAAAAGATGCTGGGTGGATGGGCAGGATTGTGTGTAAAATTGTGGTATTTTTATTTATTTATTTATTTATTAAGTTTGCTGTTCTCCCTGTCCCTTGTCTCTCAGTATGGAAGGCAGGAGGAAGGCTTGTATGAGCCAAAAGCCAGAAATCTGACACTTCTGGAGCAGTAGGATCAGAGATTGGCTGGAGGCAAAATCTGAATTCTTAAGGAAACTTTTCCCACCATCGAGCATTCGTGTAGATTCTCCAAAGCCTGTGAGGGTCATACTCCTCTTACCTCTTTCCCTTCACTGGAGTTACTGAAGAATTGTCTTTCCTCTGCTTGCTTCTGTTTATGAAACTCCTAAACCCTTAATTCCTTTGAGACCTTTAAACATCCATAATATTTAGTTGAAATTGGAAAGTGTGCTCAAAAGGTACACTGACGTGTGTTTCTGTTCCCTTGGACAGCGAAGCTAAAAACATTTTATTGCTGGTAGGAGGGAATTATTTCTTTCTCTTCAACTTTTTCTAACAAAAAATCCCCAAATATCCCACAGACTTCTTGCTCTTAAAAGAAATTCATTTTAACTTAAAAAAAAAAATTAAAACAACCACAACCACTCCCCTGGAAACCCCGAGCTGTGAATGAAATGTTTCATCCCCTGATGTAAAGGGTGGGGCTGATTTCAGGCAAATCCTGAAACCAGCAGTTGAAAAGGTGGCTCAGAGGAAAGCTGGCATCTCTCTGTCTTCCTTGGCTCCAAGTTGTTCAAAGGTCCTTCGACCCATAGACCAGTACTGGAGCCACAGAGATGTCAAGAAACTATGCCTCTCCCTTTCAGGAGGGGAGCTGCACAAAGGCATCCTGGCACTGACCTGGGTGGTGGTGGGGAGACCATTATAAATCCCCATCAGTCTCCTCCCAAGGATATAAATGTTTGCCTCTGCTAAAAGATAATCTCGTGGTCATTTCAGTGACAGCTCAAATCGAAGCCAGAGAGAGGGTGCATGGAGGGGTAATGGGAGAGTAGTCCACAGCTGTTTCCCTGTCTGTTTTTCTCTCCCAGACGTGGAAGCAGCAGCGGCGGAGCGATGCCCCGCATTCCTGCCCACCTACACACATGCTTCCTCCGCATAGCCCCGTGCTGCCTGCTCACCACAAGCACTAGGGGCTTGGCTGTAAATCCGCTGTCCAGACAGATCCCTGACACCCTGGCTTCCGCCCTGCTTCTGCAGGACACGTGCCTGTAGCTGTGAGATCAGCATCACACTCACTACCAGCACGGAAGCCTCCATGGAAGGGCAGTGAACACTGAGGATATCACAAGCAGCCCCCTTGCCAGCTGACTACCTTTGAGGTCTGCTACTGCAAGAAGCTCCCCCTTGCCTACACTCCCAGGCTGCTTTGATCATAGAAAGGTTTGCGTGGAAGTGACCTTAAAGATCATCTAGGTCCAACCACTCTGCTGTGGGCAGGGATACCTTCCACTAGACCAAGTTGCTCAGAGCTCCATTCAGCCTGGCCTTGAACACTTCCATGGTTGGGGTGTCCACAGCTTCTCTGGGCAACCTGTTCCAGTGCCTCACCACCCTCACAGTAAGAATTTCTTCTTAAAGAATTTCTTCTTAAAGAATTTTTTCCTAAACTAAGAAATTTTCTAGTCCTCATGTAGCCACTCAGACCCCCTCTGAAATCTCCAGCTCTTGAACATTTTGGCCTCCATTTTCCTGTAGATTTTCTTTAAGGCAATGCAAATGAAGTTGGCCAAATACCACTGAGAGCCTTCCAGCTATGCATGGGGTATTGTCAGCTCACACACAAACACATACACACCCTGTGGCTTGTGTTCCCACTGTGGACTGTGCTATGCAAAGGAGCGCCTTGCAGCTGAGAGGAGCTGGGTGCAACCTAACTGCAAGGGTGAATATCTCTGCCCAAATTCATGGTCAATCAACCCACAGCTAAATGTTGGCTGTGAGCAGGAGGGAGGAAGGAAGTTTGGATTGGAAAAGAGAATGCGGAAGACTTGCTGGCTTTTGCAGGGGGCTTTTGTGCACTGCTGCCAGTGGGTTTCCATGGTTCTATTTTCCAGTTGGAATAAGCCAAAGATAGACCTTCTGAGCTACCTCAGAACACATCCAGATCTCTGTGGGAGGCTGAAAATGTCCAGTTCTCTGGGAAAAGCAGCCAGGTGCTGTGTGCACTGCCAAAACAAACCAATCTATGAGGAATTTGCACATGCCCAGTCCCAGGCACGAGGACTGGTACAGGTCTTGGGCAGTTGGTGGCCCCTTTAGAAGTTTTTATGGAAATGTCCTTGCTGTAAACCCCTCTTGTCAGTGCCTTGTGAGTGAGAAGAGAGCCCTGCTCCAAGCAACTATTTCTCATCAAAATTATGTGGTGCTGCTTTTTAAAATTAAGTGGGGGATTTTTTTTGAAAAGTTATTCTTTCGGTGTGAATTGCTAGATGGAGACTAACTACCTCTTTTTGACTGTGGTGCTGCTAGATGTGTTCAGCATTAAAACCAAGGATCACAGGATTGATAGTTTGGGCTGTAACAGACCTATATTTACTGTCTGGGGTACCAAGGGGTACTCTGCTGTGCAGAGCTAAGGTAGTGAAAAACCAGAGGCCAACTTCACCCTTGGAGACAGAGGCCAGCCCAGCAGCATCAATTTCAGGAGCTGCCAGTTGAGAAGACTGGCCAAAACCAGAAGTGGGTCTGTCTCCAGGTGGGAATGGTCGAGCCTTTCCCTGCTCCCAGTGTGTTGGCCCTAGCACTCAGGCCATGCTGGAGAAGACTCTTCTCCAGCTCCTGTGGAGAAGTAGGTAGAGCAGGATTTCACAAGAACAGCATCTATCTCATAGCACTTCTTTTGTCTTTTAGGCTGAAATCTGTCAGAAAAGACAAACTTTTCCAGGCTGTTGGAAGAGCACACAATGCATGGCCACCTTTCCATGAAGCCAAGCTTGGAGATGTAACAGCTAATCCCACCACAGGCATGGTAGAAGAAATCCAACAAGGTTCTGGTGTTTCTCCAGGAGCAAGCATGGGGTCTCAGCAGTGTATCCAGAGCCCAGCCTGCTGATTGATGCTCCTCCCAACAGGTTGGTTATCCATATCCACGGGTGCCTATTGAAACCAAGTCCTGAAGCAAGAGAACATGAACTCAAGCTCTTGATAAAATGGTTTGTGCATGGAGAGGATTTGCCTGCCATATCTTTGGTTAAGGGTGCATGCTCAAAGCCTAGACCAGAGCCAGGCTAGGAGTGTGGACCATGAGTTTGTCTGGCCCTCCTTGCCCATTCCCTGGAGTATTTGCTGCATCAGGAGAGGCAGCTGCTCAGGGGTCAGCACAGCACTGGTTTCAGCAGTGGAAGGGGATGCAGCCCTCTGTAGCTATGCTCCCTGGGCTGTTTTGTGTGTGTGCAAGCCCTGGTGTGATTCCTCCTCTTCCCTTTCTAGTAGGTTCTGGTTTGGAGATTCCCACACTTCTTCCCCAATGACACAGGCTACAAGGTTTGGTGTTTATTCTGGGGTTCAGCCTAAGAGAGGGAAGGTGTTTCATATTACTGATCTTCCACAGGCAAGGCAGAGGAATCAGTGTCCAGCAGTGAGGGTTTATTAACTTCAGTTAATAAACACATCCTTCACTTCCAGCCTCTCTTCCTTGGCGAATGCCACTTAGCAAAAGCTGCTTAGGCTTGGCCGGGGATCAGCCCTGCAAGTTTACAGGATTCACAATTCACAGATGTTAGGAACTATCAGGCTGAGTGTGGGTGGAGAATGTCAAGACTGAAATAGCTCCCCTGCCATCCTGGCACAGGCAGCAAAGAAAATGTTTCCACGTGACATTCTTCGAACAAAAATTTCCTACAAGGAAAACACAGAGGGGAAAAAAATAAGAGGCCATCGCTGCTGTCTCAGAGGGTTCCTGGTTTTTGCTTGGGAGGCTGGCATTTGTGCTGACATTGGCACAAAATATAGGTGAGTTATAGGGCAGCCCCTTACACTTCTCTTCATGCACACAAACGTATAGGTTTGCTTCAAGATGCAATCCCACTGGTGCACAGATATGTGGATGCTATTTTTTTCCTACTGGAATCCATTTTAATTTAGCTCCTGATTCATATTTCATTCATTCTCCAAACCCACAAAACCAGGATAGGTTTACAGCCTGTACTATTTGGATAAATCACGGTGGGGCAAAAAACAGGGGACAAAACAGGTTGCTTTTCTGAATGATTTTCTGTATGACTCAAAAGACAGAGAAAAAAAAAGAAAAGGAGGTAGTAGGGAGAGAATTAAAGCTATCCCTTCTTGCTTTGATGTTCCTTCAGGAAAATCAGATCTGCTTTTCCTCTTTGGTACTTTGTTTTGGTGGACTTCACTTTGCTCTCATTTCTTTAGGCTTTAGTGGCTGAAAAAGATGTGATTTCTACTTTCTTTTATTTTCTCATCAAGAAAATATTGGGGTTATTTTAATTATGGAAATGTATATACTATTTACAGAACACCAGAGCAATGAAAGATTTCTATGTCATCTCAACTTTTTCAGAAAAAAATGGTAAAAATCTATAGAGGGAAACATTAACAATTATGTCTGATAGTTTTCTTGTGGGGAGGAGAGCAGGAAGGGGAGGGAGAAGAGCAAAAGTTCAGAGTTAATTTTAATTGAGGAATTTCCCCATATTTTGTCATTCAGCTTTTGAAACTGTGACCACAACAGGTTGTTTGAACTGTGGTGTGAGAGAGTCTGAAAAATTCCCCAGGCAACTATATGCAGGTACTAGCCACAGAGTTGACAAGGAGAGCTTTTAAAGCACGATGAAATTCAGCACGGGCACTGCACCCAGCAGAGGAAACTCCGGCCATCTGGAGACGAGGATGACCAGCAGCCACAGCAGTTTGAAAAATTGCAAGGGCTGCCAAAATTAAACTGTGAAGTCAGGCGGGAAGGCAACCAATGACCAGTGAGATCAGAAGTTCAGAGAAGCCCCAGATGAGCTCCCAACAACAAGTGTGGCCAGCGCACACCAAAGTTTATTAAGGATGTTGAGAGGAGGGGAAAATATCCGTGCAGAAGATGCCCAGCTGGCGAGGAGGGAGTGGTGGTGATGCTCATGTCACTTGATGAATCCCATTGGCCAAGTCCCCAGGAGATCCCACCCATTCGCAAGTGTAAAATAAATCTCTAAAGTTGTACCTCGTGTACCACTTGACCTTATTGCTTTTAGCCTGCTGGCTTTATAACTATTTATTTATTTTATTTTGGTTTGTCCCCAAAGAGGGGCTCAAAAGGAAATGAATTTTGAACCAGCACCTTTCACCACCTTGCAGTACTACCCTGATACCTGCATCCAGCGGTGAGTCTCTGAGCGTGACGTAACTCTCTCCTATCGCAGGTTTGATCTGAGTGTCTTGTGTAATTGTTAACTTTTCTGCTATCGTCCGGTGGCAGCTGGGCTGCATGCGGAAAAAATGTGCCGCTCTCTTCATGCTCAATGGAGCTTATTATTATTTTTGGCTTCCTAACAGGTTACTGTTTAATTATAGGCATCCGTTTAAGATATCCCCTTTTCCTCTTTGGCATTAGAGGGGAAAAAAATATGATAAATAACATGAAGGCTGATAGTATCTTCCCTTGTGTTTTGGAGCAGAAGGTTACTCTGTGCTCTGGGTAGTACAGGAATTGCTTTAGCTTTCTATAGTGTGTTTATTTGTTTTTTTAAATGAAAAAGCTCCTGGAGATAATATGAGCTTAACTATTAAGCTCTGAGATTTTGGTATTTAAAGGATAAATAAAAAGTTAAAATATTCAGAGAAATAAAAAACTGCCTTCTAAGAGCAAGTAATTTTCCAGGAATATTTTTTCCTTCTGTCTAACAGCCAGCCTCAGAGCCTGCCAACCACTCTTATTTTAGCTTTGTTGTTACGCGGAGTTTTATAACTTTCCAGCAGATAAAAGAGCATGTCCGCACGAGGTGTCACAGTATCACATTGTCGGTTTGTTTGTTTCCCCCAGCAGAAGATACTATATTTAAGCATGTAAATGACATGTAGATGGTATTTTTCCAGTCATAAAGTTCGGAGAGGTGAAATCCTCTGAGCGCAGTCACTTGTTGAGCTGTTTTAAGACTAGTTTCTGTCTGTGTTTTGTAAAAGCCCTGGCTGGTGTCTCACGAAGACATTCAATCCCTGGAAGAGTTAACTATTAACTCTGCATCCTCTGCAGGG